TTGTTTTTTGGACGCCCCCCCCCCCCCCCCCCCCAAATGAAACTCATGAAAAATACATTCATTGCAGAGAAATGCTATCTGGGTATTCTGAACTAATGATCTCTTTATACACTGAGTTATTTTTCAAAATGTTTCCTTTTATAACTGAGCCACTGTGTGGTCATAACACTTGACCATTAATGTTTCTCTGTGTTTATGACTGCTTATAGTGACACATGCTAGTAATAAAAATGGAGTTGATCAAATGCAGATTTCCTTGTTCCTGAACTTGCCATTAAGTCAGTTACAAGAATGAGATTTTGGGCTAGATTCTTAGGTATGTTAACTTCACAAGAGTCATCTGACTTGCCAGTAAACTGAAGTTAAACCACCTAAGGATTTGTCTCGTGTTTACACACAGATTGTTTCTGATTGTATAACAATGAGTGTTGAATGTTAATTAAGGTATATGATGTTATTTAATTCAGCATGCTATACAGAGATCATGAAAAATTCGTAGTTTTGAAGGAAAGACTCAATATTAGCATTGTAGGTTCCTTTCCTCTTAGATGTTATTTATGCTATTCAAAATGGGGCATGACGTGAATAGTTTTAAGAAATTTAACATTGAGATTATTCAGCTATTTATTGAAGACTGCTATTTCACTAATAGCGTGTAAAACCTACAGTATGAATCTGTTTCTTCATCTGTTTCAGAACCTTTGTCTCTCTAAATTTCTTCATTTTATGTTGTAGGCTCGTTACAGGAAGGAGCAAACATTGCTTAAACAGCTGCCCTGCATTCCATTGGTGGAGAATCTGCTGAAAGATGGTACAGATGGTTGTGCTCTAGCAGCCCTGATCCACTTCTATTGTCCAGATATCGTTAAACTGGAGGGTATGTCTAACATGTCTCTCAACTTGTAAACATATGTACATAAAAGTTAAAATGTCTGTGTTTGATAACTATGTGAAGGAAGGTGCTTAAATATGATATATAAGAGGCATAATTTGAGTGTGGTGGGTCTAATTATTAACTTTGTGCCTATTTATTTTTACATTTAAATAAAAGGAACCAAGGTGTTTTTCCATGTTGTGCTTACTTCTATGTTATCAGTTAAAATAAACATACTAAGATGTATTACAGATCTGACTGTGGCAACACATTTGCCTTTGTGCTATGAAACTTGAAACCACCTGGAAAACAATTATTCTTGAAGCTGCATAATTGCTTTCTTGTGAATCTGAGCAGTTATAGATATAAAATGTGGAAGAGGTTAGAGTGAGTCAAACTCTGTATAGCTGCACTGCATGGCAAATAGTTGCTCTGTGTTCTGGGCTTTTATTTCACCTGATAGTTACCTATATCACTTACAGAGTAGACAAAAATATGTAGTCCAGAATGTATTGGTGTCACACTGTTCTGTAATACCAGTTGTCTGTGTTGATGAGCAGCGTCATCTTGTTCTTTTGCTCAGTGGCCTGGTTGAAGTCACATCTTCCTCTTGGCAAGTAAGAGCCTTGTGTAGTTGTAAAATGTCTTGGCAGCTAACACCCATTATTTTCTGCCTGTGTTCTGTCCATGATACCTTTGATGTCGTGGGAACACTTATCCAGAATCATTCTGAGAAATCCAGCAATACAAATAAGGGTATAAAGTTTGCTAAGGACTGAAATCTGGAATTCATGTACACAACCACTTTATAGGAAGCTTCCAGCACAGTAGGTGTTGGAAGATGAAAGACACTGATGCATGCATTCACCATTCTTCTTCAGCTTGTGAATTTTGAAAAATAACAACTTTCAATTTACATAAATGTTGCAGCCAAACATATATTATTGTATGCAATTAGGGAAGAGTTAAAACTTGACTAGTGTTGAATGGGGGTAACACCTAGTTTCTTCTTACTGTTTTAGCGTGGCTGAAAATACAGACAGTCCAAAAGATCTTTTATAACCTCTGTGACCACATATATACTTACCAGCAGATCCTTCCAGCATCTGACTTTAAACAAGACGAGATACATGTTGTCTTTGTAACTTTAGTTTTAATGTTCTTGTTAGGTGTCCTGACATCATCTTCCCTAAAGATATATAAATGTGTGTGTCATTGTCTCAGAAGCAAATTCAAAGGTACTCTGAAGCGACTAGAAGCACTCTAAAAAGACTTTGCCCGTGATCCCTGTATTTAATAGTATAACTTTTGATGCATGTTAAATTCACTGAGATTTGGTTCTGTATTGGAACTAAGGAAGGCAGGTAACAAAAATTCATATGCAAAAATGCTTAAAAATGCATTAGCAGAAAAGAAAAAAAATATTAATCTGGAGTTCTCTGTAGTCTAAAATAGATTGTTTCTTCTCGTTCAGACTTTATTTAACTTTTAAATCTAGGTTTTCTTCAAGGAATACAGGACTAGAAAGGACTCCCTATGTCAATGAGTCAAGAAATTGGCTATTGTATGAAATTATATAATCCCGTAAAGGAATTATCATGTTCTGTCTTAAAATCGTCTAGCTCTTTAAAATCCGTATTCTTCTTACCCACTGTTGCAGAGCTCCATTTTTCACATTTTAAATCATATTCTTCTTTTCTACCTAAATGTTGTTGTAGCCTCTCTGCATGCCTTTGTTGTTCTTCCAGCAGTGCCCTTTGGCTTGAATAGCTTCTCCTAATCTGATGTCTACCTTTTTGATATATTTTCTTTCTCTTGTTTTGCCCAGGCTACTGAACCAAGCCTTTTCAGTCTTCCCTTCTGAAGTGGATTTCCATTCTCATTATTATCCTTGATAGTCTTCCTCTGCAACTAGTCCAGTTTTGGTTCATCTTTCTTGAATATGGGTGGTTGTAATTGTGCACAGGAATCCAGATTGGCATCTTGTTACTGCTTTGTACAGTGCCACTACGGGAAATAAATTTTCTGATACATTTTAACATCATGTTTGCTATTTTCAAAGCTCGTAAACATCTTTACATTGGCTAATACACGATACCTTCCTACACTATATCATTTTCAACCAGTGAATCACATTATAATTGTATTAGATCCAAATGCATGACTTTGCATTTTGCATTACTAAATTTAATACCATTTCAGTAAGTTTAGTCAAACATTTTTTTCCATTGATCATCATCTGTGGGGTTGGGATGATGGAATATGTCTGATTTCTTCAAGGTGGGAGTCCTTATCCTGCTAGCATCAAAGTAGATTCCTTGTTTGAAGAAACCTCTTATCCTAAACAATTTAAAACTTATGTGGAACTCTGTCATACAGTGTTGCTTTAGAAATTAAATCTGATGCATGCTCTGGAAGTATATTTAACTTTCTTTTATGCAGTCCTTCTTCTTACAAGGACCCCCCCTTTCCCCCTT